AAATACCTCAGTTTGGCTGTGGAAGTCACTTCTCTGAAGTTGGTGAGAATGAAAATAGAACAAAAAATATCTTAAGGCTCAAGAAGGTAACTGGAAGGGGGATGGTGGGGGGGGGTGTGTGCACGTGCTTGTGCACATGCGTGTGCAGGGAGAGGGTGGAGGGGAGAGAGGAGATTTCCCACAGGCAGGAGGCTGGAGCCTAGGGATTCCTGCCAGGAGGGTTCGGGGAGGGCATGACTTTTTTATTAAACAGTTTGATTGCAATATAATTCACTTACCATACAAGTCATCCACTTAAAGTGCACAATTCACTGGTTTGAGTGTGTTCACAGTTGTGCAACTATCATCACAATCACAGTCAATTTTAGAACATTTACATCACCTCAAAAAAGAAACGCTATACTCTTTAGTAGTCAGTCCCCCCGCCAATCCTAAACAATCACTAAGCTACTTTCTGTCTCTGTAGATTTGCCTGTTCTGGATATTTCATATACGGTCATGTGTCGTTTCACGACGGGTATATGTTCTGAGAAATGCCTTGTTAGGCAATTTTGTCATTGTGCAAACATCATAGAGTGTACTTACACAAACCTAGATGGTATAGCCTACTGCACAGCTAGGCTCTATGGTACCGATCTTACGGGATCCCGGTCGTCTACGTGGTCCGTCAGTTGACCGAAACATCGTTATGTGGTGCATGACTAAATGGAATCATACAGCATGTGGTTCTTTGTGACTGGCTTCTTTCACTTAGCATCATGTTCTCAAGGTTCATCCGTGCTGTAGCACATATCAGAACTTCCCTCCTTTATAGGGCTGAATAACACCCACAGTTTATTCATCCATTTGTCAGTTGATAGACATTTGGGTTGATTATACTTTTTGGCTATTATGAATAATGCAGCTATGAACATTCTTGTGTAAGTTTTTGTGTGGACATACATTTTCGTTTCTCTTGAGTATATACTCAGGAGTGGAATTGCTGGGTCATATGGCAACTCCATTTTAACATTTTGAGGAACTGCCAGAGGCACATCTTATGTTGCCCTTTTCAACTTTGTATGATGGAAATTCCCTACCGTACTGAAAGTAGAGAAAATACTGTAGTGAGCACCTCCATACCCATCATCCAGGTTCAACAATGATCACCCTTTTTCTGGTCTTGTTTCATCTGCCTTCCTCCTCCACCGTTGTTTCCCACTGAGTAGTTTGAAGCCAGTTCGAACCCTGCGCTGTCTGTTGTTCAGTTGGCTGAGAGGCCAACGTTTTCTTTTGTTCCAAACCTTCAGTCCAAGTCTCCTACACCACGTCCTTGTGTGGATGGAATTTGGGGAGCATGGAGGAATTGGGACAGAGTGGAGAGTGGGTCAGTGTGGGGTGGGAAAGGAGTAGCTCCTGAGTGAGGCAGAACTAGCTATGTAATTTACAAAATGAAAATGTGGAGCCCTTTGTTCAAAAATTATTAAGAAGTTCAAGATGACAACAGCAGAGCGTTAAACCAAACCTAGGCCTTGTGCAACTGTATAGGTCTCGTGCCTATGAGGCCGGCAGAAGGGTGCCCAGAGCATTGGACAGATGCATTGGACCCAGGAATTTAGAGCCTTGGGTGCCTAGGAGAGACAAGCACCCCTCACTCCCAATCGCTGGAAAGGTTCCAAGGAAAGTTTGGGTCTCCCATGGCATGCGGGACAGGGTTCAAGCCCGTTTCATGTGAATCTCTAAAAATAAGATGACCCCAGCTGACATGTGGGTTGTAAGTACTTTAAAAAAATAGTCATTTGTCTTAAGCTTTCTTCCCTAAGAGCCTGCAGTTGTTTTATTTGGCCACACCATTTTGTCCTGGACTCTGAGTGTACTCTGGTATCACGGCAAATGACAGGCTGCGGTCTTCAGAACGGAGGCCTGCTGGTTAGCAAACAACACAGAGCAGCGGCCGGACCAGGGACGACCAGTAGAGGCAGGTGGCCATGGCACATACTGGCAACCAGTCATGGCACCCAGCCCTCCCAGTCAGACAGAGCTCCAATAGCCTTCTGAAAGGATAGCCTCCACCAACAGACTGATCCTTAGCTCCTGCGCTTATCTAGACTCTCAACCCAAGAATTCACTCAGAGATTCAGAGCCGGCAGTGTGTGTCGGGATGACATCCAAGGATGCACTTATACTAACAGAACCTTGTCATGAAGGGTATACTGCTCGACTGGGAAGGAGGGGCAGGGACTCACTGAGAAAAGCACAGATAAGGATCTTGCAGCGCCTCCTGTTCTCTGCGGGATGGTAATGAATGAGTGAATGTTCATTCACTCATTCATTCCATTATTGGAGTACCTGCTATACATAAGGGGCTATGTACCGGCCATGAGCAATACGGTAACCAACAAGACAGACCCAGTTCCTACCCTTAAAGGTAGGAGAGGCCATCATAAATCAAACATGAACAAAACAGTTTAAATTTGATTAAAATAATGCGATAACATTTGCTAAAAACAACTACAACCACAGGTCTGAGTAAATCCTGCTGGCAGCTTCGGGATTTATAGACAGAGTGGATCTTAAAGCAAAGCCCAATTTAGGACTGAGCTAGTTCTCAGCAGTGAATGTAGGATCAGCACAGCCAAGGGAAGGCATCAGAGGAGGTAGGTGGCTCTGTTTTGTCTTTTTCTTTTTTCTCCTGCCAGCACCTTCTCCCTGACTTCCGGCAACAGACCTGACACCCAGGGGCGATACAGCCAAAGATGGCCGCTCACGCAATCCCCATCCGTGGTACAGTAATTGGTCCGGGTATGCACACGTGACCCAACATAACCAATCAGCAGCCCACTTCCGAGCTGCACCACAGTGATTGGTCCATTGTGATCATGTGACCCGTAGCAGGGCCAATCCAGGATTGTGCTAACTGGAGTTGGTGGGAAGGTTGCTTTTTTTCTCCCGTCAGCCTCTGGAGCTGCATGTGGCCCCAGAGACTGAGGCCAGTAAGCAGACAGGAGGGGAAATGAGAGAGAAGATAGAGGTAAGGGAGGAAGAGAGAGACATGCTGCGTTGTGACCCCAGAGCCTTCCAGCCCTGCATCCAAGAGCAGCCAGCTTCTCCCTTTCTTCATCCTAGCTCCCAGAGTGAGTAAATCCGCATCTTGCCTCAATCTGATCCACTCTGGTTTCTGTGTGGTCCTGATCCAGGCCTGGGGGACTGTTTTCTCTCTTAGTGGATTGAACTGAAAGGGGTAGGTTAGTCTCAGAACTCATTCTCCCCTGGGTGTGCCTCCTGTACTTGAAAATAGAAAAATCACCAGACATGGGCTGGCCCGGTGGCCTAGCAGTTAAGTTCATGCTTTCTGCTGGGGCAGTTTGGGGTTCGCAGGTTCGGATCTCAGGTGCAGACCAAGGCACCACTTGTCAAGCCATGCTGTGGCAGCGTCCCATGTAAAGTAGAGGAGGATAGGCACAGATGTTAGCCCAGGGCCAGTCTTCCTTAGTGAAAAGAGGAAGATTGGCAATGGATGTTAGCTCATCCTCACACACACACAAAAAATCTCCAGACACATCTCCATTCCCCTGTTAATTTCCCACTGAATCAGAGCTAAACATTTGCTCTTGGACTTCAAGTCCTGCCCTATTCCTGCTTGCCTCCGTCTCCCCAACTTCACCCCCAACACACCCCCACCTCTTCTCACCATGGGTGGAGCATGTAGCTCATCCTGGCCTCTGCTCCATGCCTGCCATGTTATATTTGTAATGATTTGTTTATGACTCTTCCCCCCCGTGAGTGGAGACCTTGAGCATGGTTACCCAGGCCTCACCCATCTTTGTACCCCCAGCTGCTGGCACACAGTAGGCAGGCAGCAAGCATGGGCAGGCGGGAGGCAGGGGAGGATGGAGGAGGGCATAAAGAGTTACTCATTCCTGTGTATTCTGTTCCAACCAGTGGGTCAATGGGTCACTCATAGGGTCAAGTTCTGTATTTGTTTCCTCTGCTGGATACTCTTGCGTCAGGTAGACACACAGCTCTTTCCCTCCTGTCCTCCAGGCGTCTACTCCCATGTCACCTTCCCGCTGAACTGCATTCTCCCAGTCCCCTTCTTGACCCCTGTCCTTCTTCCTTGCTTTCTTTTTCTCTTCCACCACCATCGGTCCTTCTCCATGGTACATTTATTTTATTTACCGTCTCTCTGTCACTGAAATGTCAGCTCCCGGGGGACAGGCATCTTTGTTTTCTTCTCTGCTGTATGTATCCTCAGCATCTTGAACTGCATGTTGCCTGGTAGATGTTCAATACCTGTGGAATGAATGAATTCTTTGTGTTCACCGAAACCACAGTTCTACCAAATTTGTTTCTTAGAGTACCTGTGCGCTTGATGCATTTTACAGCTGTTACGCAAGTCAGGTGATGTATGTTTCCTAGGGCTGCTGTAACAAATTACTACGAATTGAGTGGCTTAAAACAACAGAAATTTATTGTTTCACAGTTCTGGAGGCTAGAAATCCAAAATCTGGGAGGGCTGCTCTCCTCCCAGGGGCTCTAGGGGAATATCCGTTCCTCGCCTCTTCCAGCTTCTGGTGGATCCGGTATTCCTTGGCTTGTGGTCGCATCTCTCCCATCTCTGCCCGTCTTCGTACGTTCTTCTCTCTGTGTCTGTCTCTGCTTCTGTCTTATAAGGATGCATGTGATTGCATTTACTGCCCAGGTGGATAATCCAGAACAAACTTCCTCTCCAGATCCTTAACTTGATCACATCTTTTGCCATATAAGGTAATATTCACAGGTTCCAGGGATGGGGAAGTGGATATACCTTTTTTTTTTTAAATCTCTGGGGGCCACCATTCAGCCCTTACAGGTTATTTGCATAAAGACAAAAAAAGCAAAGATTCCACCACCACTCCATTGACCTGACAGATATGTAATGAAAAGGGTGTTATTGTTGTATTATCTCGCTCCCATCAGAGTGTGGAAATGATTTTTAAAACACCATTTTATGTTTTAATTTATCCCAATTCTTAAAAATAAGACCGTGCTTATCGTAAGAAAAATAGTACAGAAGAGAAAAATATGGGGAAAAAAGGAGCCCCTTTGCAATTTTTCTCTAACTCCAATTTCACTTTCTGAAAAGTAACCACTGTATGCAGTTGTCAGAGTCTTCATAAATTTTCTAAGCATATTCAAGTGCATGCACTTTTTTTTTGCTCGTAACGTTAAGAGAATTGGGGGCACTACAATATATCCTGAAGACACGACAGCCCTCAGACCCACAGCCTTGTTTCTAAAGACTTCTAGCATTGCACCATACTGAACCTGTCCCCTACCGGCCAACATTTCAGGTAACTCAAGGATTTTGCTGTTTAACATATATACTCTTTGGCATGTGTCCAAGTATACTCATGGGATACATTTATAGAAATGGAATTTCTCGGTCAGAGGATATGTGCATTTTTAATTTCTACAGATACTGCCCAGTGCTCTTCAAAAAGGTTGTATCATTCACCCGCCCATCAATAATGCACGTGGCAGGGTATCTGTTCCCAGCACCCTTGCCCACCCTGGCAAGGATGCAGTGTGTCAGAGGAAGCAAATCCTAAATGAGGTAAGTGGACTTTTCATGTGGGCCTGGCTGGGGGTGGACATGGCCTCCGAGGTTATCCCTGTAGCTGTCTGAGGCGATAAGCTGTCCAGAGTTCTCACTAGTTTGGGTTTTATAAACAAAGACAGGATTTGGGGAGGTGAGCCAGAACCATGCAGCGAGAAGCATTGTGCAACTCAGTATTTATTTTTTTAGTACAGTTAGAACTTAAATATGGTCAAAACATATTCTTCTTTTAATTTACACAAACAAATATGTTCCCAGGCTGACACCTCGGGTGCCAAGTTTCTAGGGGAAATGAAATTCTACTGCGAGATTAAACCACTAGAGAGAAGATGGAAATGGGAAAGCCACCGTGAGTTAGCTTTACACGTCCAGAGCTGGGCTGCTGAGAGGTGTCTCTTTCTGTCTTAGCTGCAGAGAAACCTGCCAGTAATTTCAGCAAACGAAACGTGCAACGCATCAAGGCCAGAGGATGGAGAACACTCCAGTTTTGACAAAAGGAGGTCTGCTCAGCTTGGCATCCTCCCTCCTGCGAGGCAGGAGATGCAAAGATATATCCAGAGGGGATGATGAATTGAGAGAAAAGAAACGAGACCAATGTGAGTTGCCTTTCAAGGGCTGTGCTAATATAAAACCAAACATCTTGAAATTGTTCCAAGAGGGGATTAAAGCAACATGTTATTTTGAGTGACTGCTTAATTTATTGAGCTGTGGCTAGATCTGTAATGAAACCCAGCCCTTGCAACTGATAACCTCCTGCTGCAATTGCACTTCTACAATTAAGAAATATTTTCCGAGAGTTTCTCTGGAACAGCTTAGAATTTTCAGCCTCTGTGGTGGGGTGCTTCTCAGCACTCATTTTCCAGGCAAGGTTTTTTTTTTTTTTTTTTGAAGAATGACAGGCTGATGTTAGTAAGGAAAATAGGCTGCATTTTGTTGACTGCCTTGTGTGCACCAGGCCCTTTACATACATGATCTCTTAATAGAAGTAACTCTTATTAGTCCCTATCTTACAGATGAGCCTCCTAGATGTTAAGTAATTTTCCAGAGTGGCGCTGTCCAGGACGGTAGCTACTAGCCACTTATGGCTATTTATGTGTAAATTAGTTAAAATTTTAAAAATCTAAACATTTGCTTCTTAGGTTGCACTAGCAACTAGTTCAAGCGCCCAGTAGCTATGTGTGGCTAGTGGCTAGCACATTGGACAGCGCAGATACAGACCATCTAGCTTACCGCAGAAAGTTCTGTTGATCAGTGCTATTCCACAGATCTCGCAGGTAGAAACTCCCAGCACCAGAATTCAAACCCAAGCTAATGGGCTTCAAAGGCAGCACATTCTGTCATTACCTCTTGCTTACTTCTCCTTTGGCTGAAAAGCAGGGACTAGTAGTGATTCTGCACCCTACACATTAAAATTATCTGGATGCTTTGAAAACAATATTGATGTTAGGGTCCCAGCCCCAGAGATTCTGACTTAATTGTGACGGTGGGGCTGGGGGGAGGTGGGGACAGGCATGAGGGGTTTTAATAATTCCCCATGTGGCTCAGATCTGCAGCCAGGATTGAGAGCAGCTGGATGAGAGGATCCACACACAGGCTGGTGGAAGGAGCTGGTTCATCTGCCCTGGCAATGTGGGCCCTTCTGTACCTGGAAGTGGACTTCTTCCCCGGCCTCTTCTCTTCATCAGAGAGCTCATGTTCACTTCTGAGGGGAAAACTTTCTGACAGGCTTCCTGCCTGATGGAAACACAATGAGGAGCTCTGCCTTTTGAAATAGGCTTTGTCTGGGCCAGCCTGGTGGCGTAGTGGTTAAGTTCACGCACTCCGCTTCAGCTGCCTGGGGTTCACAGATTCGGATCCTGGGCATGGACCGATGCACCGCTTATCAAGCCTTGCTGTGGCAGGTGTCCCACATATAAAACAGAGGAAGATGGGCACGGATGTTAGCCCAGGGCCAATCTTCCTCAGCAAAAAGAGGAGGATTGGCAACAGATGTTAGCTCAGGGCTAATCTTCCTCACCAGAAAAAGAAAAAAAAAAGCTATAGGCTTTGTCACACTGTCGTGGAAGAAAGGAGATGGGGATATAAGATCACAAAGTGAAAAACCTCTAGTCCCAAATTTGAATTGGAAGCATCAGTCTGAACTCATGCTATATTTACAAAATAAAGCATGTATTTCCTAGCCTTGTCCACTGAAAAGGTTAGAAATAATGACCAGGGCCGGCCCTGTGGCTTGGTGGTTAAGTGTGCGCGCTGCGATGCTGGCGGCCCGGGTTCGGATCCCGGGTGCGCATCGAGGCACCACTTCTCCGTTCATCCTGAGGCCGAGTCCCACATGCAGCAACTAGAAGGATGTGCAGCTACGACACACAACTATCCACTGGGGCTTTGGGGGGAAAAAATAAAATAAATAAAAAAAAAAAAAAAAAAAAAAAGAAATAATGACCAATCCAGTAACAGTGAGCACCCCCAAGCACCCAGATTATGGCCTCTAAACACCACTTCTAACTGGAAATCAGGGCTCTGTGGAGATACGGCTGATTCCAGGTCTGAGGCAGGAAATGTGCAAGATGAGACTGGAACATCTTGTCACCCAGGTAGCATGGAAGCTTTCAAAGACTTCTGGGGTCATGTCAGAAAGGATGCGGGGGACAACATGAAAAGGCTCCCACTGGCCAAAGATGGGACAGTTTGAGCATCACGAGGAATAATAACTGCAATGGATTGAAACATGTCATATACGTCCAAATCTACGAGTTCACAGTGACACTTAGAAAAACATAAACCCCTTTGTCATCTTTGGAGGATGCTGGAACACCAACTCGTTATTTTGAAAATTGTCAATTAAAGGGAAAGAATCAAGCATTTATCCTTTCTGGTATGATTCGTACCTTACAGTAACCAAAGAGTTGAAAAGTAAAGTTTCTTTTTATGGAAGTATTCCAGCTAACAAACAAAGGCAGAAGGATAGAACTAGTATACCACCAGTTTGCAACCCTTAATGGATATAGATGATGATCATCAATGGCTGCTAGCATCACAAAGAGGGACAACCAGACATCATGTGCCTTCAAATGGAAATACAAAACAGGCGCTAGGAAGTAGTCATACAAACACACACACACAAAACATGAATCTAAGTGAGCTTCTAGATCTTTCTACTGATTTACAAGAAATATAGGGGGGAGAGGAACATGAATAACACCAATATGGGGATGCAATAAGAAAAATCCAGACTGTAGAACACTCTACAGGACAACCAACCCAGATTCTTCAACAAAGAAATTACAAGAGAAGAAAAAGGGGGAGAGAGAACCTACAGATTGAGAGAGATGTAAGAGACATGTCAACCAATCGCAATGGATGAATCTTATATGGATCCTGATTTTAACCAACTGTAAAGAAAACATTTATGAGATAACCAGAGAAATTTGAATATTGACTAGAAATTTGCTGATATTAAAGCATTACTGTTAGTTTTAATGGGGGTGATGGTGGTATAAAAATTGCCCCCCCCCTTTTGGAGTCATATACTAAAATATTTGCGAAAGAAATGATTGTTGCCTGGAACTTGCTTCTAAATATCTGGGATGAGGGAGGAGGGGAGGGGGTATAGATACAACAAGATTGGCTGAGAGTTGGTGATGAAGCTGGGTGATAGGTAGCTGGGGTTCATTGTACCATATATTCTACTCTTATGTGTGTAATAAAAATAAAGAGTAGCCTTTTCCTTCCCTTCTCTCAAGGGTGTGAGGTTGGTCTGCCCACCCATTGCTGGCGTCTCCAGGGCAAGCCTGGGTAGCAGGTTTGAGATACATCTCAGCACGCACACACACACACACACACACGCACACACACACACACACTCATCACCCCAGCAACCAGTGAGGTGAGAACGCAGCATCCAAAAGGCTACTGTCCACAGGATCAGGCCAGGCTGCCAGTGTCCAGTGTCATGCATAGCTGCCCCCTTTGGAGAATTCCTAGTCAAATCTTAGGGGGCACCCCACCACACCTGCCTCCTTGCACCCCTTGCCCATCACTCTTGCTCTCCCTCTGCACCCCCAACTAGTAGAGGCCAATGTGGTGAGAACAGGACCCTGAATCAGATTCAGGTTCAAATTCTGACTTCGCCACTTAATGGCAAGACCTTTAACCATCCTGAGCCTCACTTTTCTCATCTGTAAAATGGGCATAACGTGACCTCCATTAACTCAATAAATCTTTATTGTGATGGGACAGTGGCAAAAAGGACCTGGTGTCCACCTCATGGAACTAGACACTCGGAGAGGAAAGGCAATCTTAACAGCATAAATGCTATGATAAAGTATATGTCCTAAAACTTGAGATATAAGGGTGCTTAATCACATCTTAATTTTTTTGAAAACTGGTAATAAGTACTTGAGAAATATAACTCTCAGTCTTACCTTTTTTTTTTAAATTTTTTGTTTATTGCAGTAACATTGGTTTATAACATTGTATAAATTTCAGGTGTGCATCATTATACTTCTATTTCTGCATAGATTACATCATGTTCACCACCCAAATACTAATTACAACCCATCACCACACACATGTGCCTAATTATCTCTTTTGCCTTCCCCCCCCCCCCTTCCCCTCTGGTAACCACCAATCCAATCTCTGTCTCTATGTGTTTGTTTATTGTTGTTATTATCTACTACTTAATGAAGGAAATCATACGGTATTTGACCTTCTCCCTCTGACTTATTTCACTTTGCATAATACCCTCAATGTCCATCCATGTTGTCACAAATGGCTGGATTTCATCGTTTCTTATGGCTGAGTAGTATTTCAGTCATACTTTTTATTAACCAGAATATCCACACTTTCCAACTACTGAGGATCCAGCTATGCCAAACACAGAATAATTCCCTTAACTTAGTGCTCACATTTCCATGAGGTGAGTACTATTATTGCCATTTTACAGAGAAGGAAACTAGGCATAAAGAGGCGAGGTACCTTGCCCAAGGCTGCGCTGTGGGTCCTGCCCTCTGTACTCGGCCCTCTGCATTGATTATTAAGCTTTGAAATGCGGCAGCAGGGCCAGGACATCAGAGCTGCCAAAAGACCAACAGGCTCTCCAGGCCAAACTCCATTTTGCAAACGAGGAAACAGTGGCCCAGAGAGGCCAAGTAACTTGTTCCTGGCTACACAGCAAATTACCTGCTGAGCCTGTATCCCCGCTGCTTGGGGAGAAGGTGCAGGGAAGCCCCATGTGGTAAGGGAAGCTGGCTCTTCTGCACCATTTAATCATGTCCCAGAGTGAGGTGACCAACCATCCTGGGGTTTCCTGGGACCAGGGACTTCAGATGCTAAAACTGAGAATGTCCTGGGCCAACCAGGGTGAGTTGGTCACGCTGTCTCGTGGTGAGGCATCTAAATGGATGTTCTCCAGGACACGAGGCCCTGGGATGGAGCTGGCTGAGGAGAACCATCAACAAGGCCCTGTAGAAGGGCTGGGGTTTCATGCCTGTGGTCCCCTGGAGGTACCACCCACGTGTCATCTCAGCAGCCTCCAAAATGGTCCATCACCCCACATTCTTCCTTGCGCCTCTCTAATCTGTTCTCCCCAAAGCAGCCAACATGCTCTCTCTGAGTTGTAAATCTAATCACCCCATGCCCCAGTTTACAAACCTAAATGGTTTCTCATTTTTCCCATTGCTTTAGGACAAACTCTAAACTTTGCAGGCCCCGGAGGCCCCCTTGGTGGGTTTGCCTGGTCCAGCTGCCCATCCTCCCTCTCAAACCCACGTCACTGCTACGAAATTCTAAGCAGGACAGGGATAGCCAGAGACCTAAGTGCACCCCTCACCCACCCACGTACCCTGTTCCTGCCACAGAATCAGCACAATTGTAATCACATAGCTATTTGTATAACTCACTGATTATTAATATCTAGTCTCCCCCACCTCTGGCTGGGCTGTCAGCCCATAGGGGCAAGGACCAATATGTGATGCTCGCTTCTGTTTTACAGCCCCTGACTCAGCAGTGACACATGAATGACACTCAATAAATAGTCATCGAATGGACCAACCAACGCCACCATCACCTCCACCCGGGCCTCCAACTGAAATCGCGGAAACCCTTTATAGCCACCCTGACCTCCAGTTCCCATTTCAGACAGGCTGGTATCCATGATGTCACATGATAGATCATTCCAGAAAAAGACTGGCCGAGAGGAGGGAGATAGGGCAGCCAGGGTTGGGTGTGTTTTTTCTTTAATTATTATACCTGTTCTGTCCACTCTTTCTTGGCTCTGTTCACATCCTTACGCCAGTACCAGCTCAGGGGAAAAACGAAACAAAACATTAGCCCCAGAGTTGGAGACGATAGCTGGCTGGTTCCCTCTTGGCTTGTAATTAATGCTGAAAATGTTCATGACTTGCCTTGGCCGCAAAGGTAATAATAAAACTCTGAAGCCTGATTATTTGGCTACCAATTCCCTTCTTGGTGTTTTTCTTCCCCTTTTCTTAAATTACTTGCAGAGTTCCTCCAGATTTCTCGTTGCTAAGCTGTAAAGTTCTGCAGCGCCCGCGCTGATTGGCGGGGAGGTCCCGGGCGGCTCCAATCAGAAGCAGGTTGCAGAAAGGAGCATCCACACCGCAGCTCACCCCGGGGTTTTGGAATTTTCTCGCTGACGTTATGAGCCGCAGAGGTCTTGGTCTAACTCTGCGAAACCTGTTCTCTTGATCTTTTTTTTTTTTTTCTTTTTTTCTTTTATTTCATTTTGTGTGTGTGTGTGTGTTTGAGGAAGATCAGCCCTGGGCTAACATCTGCCAATCCTCCTCTTTTTGCTGAGGAAGACTGGCTCTGGGCTAACATCCATGCCCATCTTCCTCCACTTTATATGGGACTCCGCCACAGCATGGCTTGACAAGCAGTGCGTCAGTGTGCGCCCGGGATCCGAACCTGCGAACCCTGGGCTGCCACAGTGGAGCGCGCACACTTAACCGCTTGCGCCACCAGGCCGGCCCCTGTTCTCTTGATCTTGTCTGCCTCTCTCCGGGGTGCAGGCTGTTGGGGGATGCCAGAGGTCCTGGAATTTCCCCTGAAGGAACAGGGAGTCCCTGGATCACCAGGTTGGGGTCAGCGACAGAGATGCCCAGGGCCCACTCATGGTTGACCACAGATGACAGGGCGATGCCCTGCCACAGGCCAAGCCCCTCACAACTGACCTCTCCCATGCCATCTCCTAAGCGTGGTGACTGGAGGAGGCTGAAGCAAAGTGGGTGCCATTGAACGCGGGATTGTTGGTGTGGAGACCACATTTGTAACGGACTTTAAATCACACATGGATGGTAGGGGCATGGTGGAGGGCCATTCTGGTGTTCCACCTCCAGAATCCCAATGCAGAGAGCCACCATGAACTGAAGCTTATTTTTTAGACCACTTTATTGAGGTATGATTGACATACAAATATATATATTACATACAAATATATATATTAAATATATACAGCCTGCTGAGTTTGGGGATAAGCAGACTCCATGAAACCATCACCACAGTCTATGCCATAAACGTATCCATCACCTCCGAAAGTGTCCTCCTACCTTCTTTATTATTATTATTTTTTGTGATAAGAACATTTCACATAAGATCTACCATCTTGGCCAAATTTTAAGTATATGATACAGTGTTGTTAACTACCATCACCATGCTGTGCATTAGAGCTCCAGAACTTATTCATCTTGTATAACTGAAACTTTGTACCCTTTGACCAATATCTCCCCATCTTCCCCTCCTCCGAGCCCCTGGCAATCCCCATTCTGCTCTCTAGTTCCATGAGTGTGACTATTTGAGATTCCTCATGTAACTAGAATCGTAATATCTGTCCTTCTGTGACTGGCTTATTCCACTTAGCATAATGTCCTCCAGGTTCATCCATGTGTTCACATATGACAGGATTTCCTTCCTTTTTAATACTGCGTAATATTTCATCGTTTGTATATACCACATTTTCTTTATCCATTCACACATCGATGGACATTTAGCTTGCTTCCATGCCTTGGCTATTGTGCCAGAAATTTTACATGCACATCTGCTCCCATCTCAAAACACCCGTTGGACAGACTCAGAACGTGATGGATGTCTGCTGGTTTTGCTTGCACTGCTTCTACCTTCCACTAACAGGGGAACCATGCCACAGGGCAAGTCATGTGACCCAGGCCTGGCCACAGTGATTGGCTCTGGGATGGGCACATGACCAAGCTGGGCCAATCAGAATCTTCCTTGAGACTTTTCTACTAGAACTATAGGAAAAGTCTCTCTTCCTGCCACTGGATTTGCTGAGCTGGTGACCACTGTGAACGTGGAAGGTGACTGGGGGATATGAAGTCCCTGTGACAATGTTGAGACCCAGATGCAGCCCAGCCTTAGGGGAAATCAGATCTACTCCCTGGATTTTAGTTACAGGAACAGTAAATTCTTTGTTTAAGCCAATTGGCCTGTGTGTCTGTTGAGCGTATAATACAGACATGCACTTTCTCCTTGCAGTGCCTGGCTCTGGGTTGGGCAATTCGCATATATTCCCACATAGGGTCCTCACAATCACCTGGTGAGGTAGTCCATTTTGCAGATGGGGAAACTGAGGCTCAGAAGGGACAGGGAGATTGCCCAGATAATACTGCCAGTAAGTGCTCAGGGATTCAAACCTGGGCTGTCTAATTCCTGGATTTCTTAGTGGTCCCTCAAATTCAACTTCTCCAAAACTGAATTCAAGAGCCTACCCTCAAACCTGCCTTCCCTCCAGGGTCCCGCATCTCAAGGGCAGCCCCTCCCCCAATCTAGTGGTGCTAACCAGAAACCAGGTGTCATCTCCGAGCCCTCCCTGCCCCTCACTCCCATGTCCAAGCCTCACTAAGTCCTGCCCCTCGGCAGCCCTGGAAGCAGTTTACTTCTTTCCCTGTCCACCTCTCCAGCCTTGCCCAGCCGCCCTCATTTCTTGAAACTTTGGCCTTCAAGAATTGCCTACCACCTGGTCCTCTCATGTCCATTCTTGCCCCTCTACTCCAATAGGGCTCCCCTTGGCATCCAGAGGAATTGCCTCAAGATGCCAAGCTGATCATACTGCCTTACTGGGGGAGGCTGGGTGTGATGATCTGATGGATCACGTTTGCCTCTGGGGGTGATCTGAGAATCATGCAACCTCTTAGACCCACCGGACTTTGGGGCAACAAAGTCAGCAAGCCTGGGAGCTGGGGAGGACACAGCTCCCTGCATCCTCAGCCATCCTGTCATTTATTCCGCAGACAGTTGCCAGCACCTCCCAGGCACTGTCCCCTGCGCTGGGCCTCCAGAAATGACCAACAGCACCCCGAGCGAACCTCACTGTACACTTGCTGCGGACCTGACCCTGCGGTCTGTGCTTCTCACCTATCAGCTCGCTCACTCCCCAGTAGCCCTACAAAGTAGCAATTGGTATTAATCCCATTTTACAGATGAGAAGAAGAAAGCCCCTGTTCTCATTATACGCTGATGAGGGAGACGGACAAAAACAAGTTAAATACACACACGCACGCACGCGCTCACAGACATGACATAATGCCAAGAGTGATGGGACCAAGGGTGATTCTCGGATTGAGTCCAGAGGCTTCCAGATGCCTCCCTCTCAACTCCTAGCCTGCAACATGCGCAGGGCCCAGGACAGGAGTAGAAATGAAAGCCCACGTACTGTATGTCTACAGATTTGCAAGTCATCAATCAAGCTAAGAAACTGTGTCAATAAACTATGTTCTATCCTCCCTCTTTGACAAACATTCCCTCACCATGACCCGCAAGGCCAGGTCTGGATGCAAAATTCTCCCGCTGGAGTTCCGCAGACCACTCCCCTTCTCTCCCCGCCCTTCTCCATTCTGCACCTTGAGGGGCCTCGGGCACATGTACAGGCACCCAGCCCAGAAGTCCAAGTTCTGTCCTGAGCCCCACAAACAGCTGCCCCTGAGCCCCCCTTAGGTTTAGGGGTGCACACACTAGGAAGCCAGTGTGCCCTCAGCAGGGCAGATCTAGAGAAGACCCCTGAGCAGGCTTTGGAAATGGCTCAGTGCTGCTGGGGCAGGGAATTCCGGAGTCCTGACACCTAGAACGTGGTCCAGAAGTGGGGAGCGTGTGGGCACCAGGTGGGCACATCCCTCTGGCTCCACGGCTCCTTGACTGACTCGCTCCAATCCCTACCCATCTGCCTCTGCCCTACCTCCTGCATTGGGTTGAATGGTGTCCCCCCAAAATTCATGTCCACCTAGAACCTTGGAATGTGACCTTATTTGGAAATAGGGTCTTGGGAGATGTCAGGAAGATAAGATGAGGTCACACTAGCTTAGGATGGGCCCTAAATCCAATGACTGGTGTCCTTATAAGAAGAGGAAAAGACGTACAGAGACACACACAAGGAGAATGCCACGTGACGCTGGAGGCAGAGATTGCAGCAATGCAGCTACGAGCCAAGGGACACCAAGGATTACAGGAGCCACCAGAAGCTGGGAAGAAGCAAGGAAGGATTCTTCCCTAGAGCCTTCAGAGGGAGCCTGGCCCTGCTGCCACCTTGATCTGGACTTCTAGCCTCCAGAACTGTGAGAGGGTAAATCTCCATTGTTTTCTACCACCAGGTCTGTGGTAGTTTGTTAGGGCAGCCCTAAGAAAGTACAGCACCTCCCTGCTCCCTCCCCACCCTCTCCTTCCCCTGGCCTCTCCCACACCCAGTGTCAGGCTGGTGCAGGAAAAAATGTCCCTAGCAGGTGGCAACGTTCCCCATCCCCTCACAATTCACCTGGCCAACCCCAGAGCCAAATGCTCTTACAGGCCGTCTTTCCCAAGAAGATCACCTCTGCCCTTGCCCATGGCAGCTCTGGGGACAGGCTCTGGCTCCAGGGGGCATGCTGGGTCCCTGAAGCAGGACCTCAAAGAAGGCAGGCTCTGGGGAGCCCCTCTCAGCTGTCCACCCTGGCTGCACCCTGGCCAGCACCCGGAAGAACGTGTGTCAACAGACTCCCTTGTGCTGCAACCATGTGTGATTTGCTGTTTAGCTTTCCAGTGGGAAGCTTGCCTGTGTTTGTCACAACGGTTAGTGTTTGGTTACGTTTAACCAAGGCCGTGGAGGTGGGGGCGTGCGTGTGAGAGAGCGAGCTGTATGTAATCTCTTGGGCACACAGCCTGCAGCAGAATTGCCTGACCTTCCCTACCTCCCAAATACAGATGACAAAAAAACAAACCGAGCAAGAGGTCAGGTCTCTTTAGAAATCAGAGTGTTTGAACTCAACAGCAAAGAGCTGCTGTTTATTCTAAACTCCATGAAATGAGATGACCTCACATCACCAGATAAGTCATCGGGACTATAGGCTGTTTCAATGCCAAAAGCCATTTGTTCATTCATCCATCCATTCCTTCATCCATCCATCCACCCACCCATCCACCCACCCACCTATTCATCCATCTACCCACCCA